TGCTGGGTGTATATTATAATATATCATAGCGCGCTTTGATTTATCTAATTGGGAACGTCAAAAAACAATTAAAGGTTTTCTTTTTGTGCGTGTGTGTCTGTGTGTGTGTGAAGACAGGAAGGAAACAGACTTTTGGCGTGTTTGTTTATTGTTGTCTGGAGCTGATAGGTTCGTGAAACACAAGGAAGAAAAGATGATAAAACAAAACAAAAATGAAAAAGACGTCAGAAAAAAGAGAAGAAGAATGAAGCGGGAGTTTGATGGCAGGCACGGGGGGACGATAGAGTTTGGGGTGCTTGGGCGAGGTAGAGGGGATGGGGTGGGAGGAAGGGGAGGAGGGAGAAGGAGGAGGAGGAGGAGAGGAGGGTTTGGCAAGGATGATAATGGAGAAAGAAAGAAGATAAACGAGAGAGAGAGAGAGAGAGAGAGAGAGAGAGAGAGAGAGAGGAGGGAAGAGAGAAACAGACAGACAGACAGACAGAGAGACAGAGATACTAAAAACCACCACCACCAACCTTTTGTACTTCTCCAATCAACGCCGAGGAATCCTCATCGTGTCCCAAATGTGTCCCCACGCCTCACACCAAGATGACAGGCACAAAAACCATCAAACAAAACTTCCTTGTGGATCCAACAACGACCTCCTCCTTCTCCTCCTCCTTCTGTTACACAATCGCAAGACTGGCCCCAGAATTATACCAGCAGTATCACAGAGCGCCGAGACATTACAGGGGGGACAACACACAGAGATATTATTATAAAGCTATACAGGCAAATTTTTTGGGGGAAAAAAGACCGAAATAGTGGTGACAAATCAGGCGGCACGGTCAGTATCTCGAGCGAAGCTGCGTCTCGTTTCTACGCTCAGCCAGACGCCTGTCACTGTCAGAAGCGCTGCATGACGCCACTTCTACCTCAGAATGGGACTCGAGTGGACAAGCCCCTACAGCTTTTATACCCTGTCTCTACGTCGGTCCCATCTTGAGGTTCGTTTTGATGAGATGTGCGATCTATCTGATTCTCCCTCCCATCCTCTACCACTCCCTCGTCCCCCACTCTCCCTCTGTCTCCTTCCCTCGAACCTTGATTTGCTTTGCGCATAGCATTTGACGAGTATCCTTTTGGTGGTGGTGGAAGGGGTGTGGAAAGGGATAAGGGAAGGAGAGGATAATTATTATGTGTATACGTTAGGTTTTTTGTGCGTGAGTGTATATTTGGGTGAGAATGTAGTTGGAAAGTGTGTGTTTGTGTGTGTTTGTGTGTATGTTTGTGTGTGTATGTGTGTGCGTGTTTGTATGCGTGTGTTTGGGGGGGGGGGGTGCATGTGTGAGTGTTGGTGTGAAAATGCGTGTGTATGGGAGCGTGCATGTGTGTGTTTGTGGGGACAAGAGAAAGGGAGAAAGAAAGAGAGAGAGAGAGAGATATATATATATATATATAGAGAGAGAGAGAGAGAGAGAGAGAGAGAAAGGGAAAAAGAAGAAAGAAAAAAAAGAGAGAGAGAAAGACGAAATGGAAAAAGAAAGAAAGAAAAAGAGAGATAGAGATGTGCGATTGTTGTCTTCCAATGTATGCGCACATTAGTGTCTGTCTGCACGTCAGTCAGCCCGTTTGAGTGTGAACTTGGGGTTGCAATAGGGGGGAAGGGGGGATTGGTGGCGCTACACACCTGCGTCGTCGCTTCTGTCATATCCTGGGCTTTTTTTTTTACAAACTAGGGTTCTTAGTTGTTCCAAATCTTAATTGATGCATTTACGTTGCTATGTTCCTTCTGTATAATCGTTGACTTGGCGACCTTGTTTTAATTACAGCTGGATTTTCCTAACTACAATAGATAAATACGTTTTGATTTTTATTTATTGTATTCTATCCGTATTGTTTCGGTTCTCCTTTCTTGTTTGTCACCCTCGCTTCTTCTATTCCATTACATCTCCATCTACTTTGATTGTAGAGTACCGTACAGAAGCACCACCTTCAGTAACCCTCAATTCTTCAAAGAAACCACATTTTTATTGCTTCTATTTTGTTTTCACTTTGTTAATTTTGCAGCTTTCACAGATGTACAGAAGAGCTCACCACACATAACCTACTTGAAATAACCCTTAATTTTAAAGTAGTCATTGAGATATTTCTGTTTTTCAGAATTGGACTCATTTTATAGAAGCTATCTAAACTATTACCATTCTCCGTTTTATTTCCGTGGAACATAAATTGGCTTTTGATGTACCAGTGATGATATATCCAAGACATTTAAATTGTTGAACTTGTTCGATCTTTTCATGACATATTATAAACATCAATTACAACATGACCCATTTATATTTGCCTATTCGCGTTGTCTCAATATACACATATTGAGGCGAACCTCTATCCGTAACACCGACGCCCTTCACCATTAGCATCCAATTAATTCACTGTTTCTAAAATCAGGCAGCTGGACATCAGTTGACTTGTGATGACGAGGTGGATTCCGTTCAAATTCCCCTCTCTCACTCATTGTCGTTTACAGACCGTTTCATTGTTGCACGCCGGGTTTACGGCCATCAGTGATTCGGTGGCGATGGGACCTGCTCCGCACAACATCCCGCCAACTGGCGTCCTCCGCCTTCGCCTTGAAATATTTCAAACAGCCCACTTTGGTCTCGACTTTGAACACGTCTCGGTCCTTTTTCTCACACTCGTGCAGTGAAACAGGAAGAACGAGAAAAGTTTGGGTTTTTGTGCTTATACGCATGAAGTTGAGTCCCATGTGGGTTGGAGGTCGATAAATGTAAGAAGAGTTTTGAACTCAGGAATCAGGATTATGTGGCCTCCGAGTTGTGACGGGCAGGTCACGACAGACCGTGGGATAAGAAATAATCTGATGCCCGGAGACTTGTTTGGTAAGAAAGTCCTGGGCGTTCGAAAAATTATTTTGTAGTGTGACACAGTATAGTATGGTATGGTATGGGATGGTATGGGATGGTATGGTATGGTATGATATGGCATGGTATGGTGTGGTATGGTATGGTATAGTATGGTATGATACGGTATGGTATGGTATGATATGGTGTGGTACGGTATGGTTTTCAACACTGTGCGTATTGTTATTCAATAGTTGTAACCTCCTATATTAACTTAAGTCTCCGGTAGACCCAAACCATGATGACGGAAAGTTTCGGCTTTAACAAAAGTTCCTACAGAGATTTGAACCGCCGTCATCCTCTCTGGAATCTAAATTGATAATAATGACAACAAGTGCATTTATATAGCGCATATCCAAGTTCTACAGCATACTATAAAACAAATGCTTTACAACTATTATTATCCAAGCAGACCGCAGAACACTCAGAAACATTCTCGGCTTCCCAGAAGCATAGAGTCCAAGCTGCGGATTCACACGCTCACACACTAACAAATTCACAAGATATTTCACTGTCTATAGCCGGGTACCCATTTCCATTTGGGTGATATGAGGAAATTCCGTGTAAAGTGACTTTCCCAAGGATAAAACGTCTTGCCCCAGGTGGGATTCAAACCCATGACCTTACGGTTGCAAATCCGAGGGTCTATTCACTAGCTAGCGCATCCATTATAATTTACCTCAATAACGCTAAATGTCGATTTGTGTATTTCCCATGTTAATAAACAACTCTGGACTCTGGCATTCGGGATTCCTAAAGTTTAGACAAGTTTTAATTAATTAAAGAAGCTCTAAATGAAATTAGAGCTGATTGAACGAGTTTTTCTTTTTTTTTCTAGTTGACATGAATCAGCAACTGGGATGCAACAAACATTCAACTGTGAAAAGGGGAACCATGAAATAATCTGTGTGAACGGCACACGGTTCGGCTTCGGGTTATAGTCAAAATCCCTTTATCCAGCTCTTAAATTTTTATCATAGAACTGGACTGGTATTAGAAAGCAATGAAAGATCCCTTTAAAATGACACCTGGTGATTCTGCGAGAGCGGAAAGCGTGCGTCCCCAACATCACGCAGACCCCCGACAGTATCCTTTGGGATTCACAAGTTCAAAGATGTGGAGTTTAACGCCTTACGAGATACTAATTATTTACGTCTGTTTGAAGCTGGAATGTTTTATCCCCATCAGAACACATAGCTGAGAGAAAAAGTATGTCAAGAAGGAGAAAAAAAAACTTCTTACCGTCTGGCCTGCGGCCTGCTCGAATGAGAGTCTTGCATTCATTCCGCGACTGAACTACGTTCATCGACCAACCG